ACATTCACCAGAACCTTGGATCAACGGCTCATCTCAACAACTCAGCAGATCTCCCCCCGCCTACACATTTATTCTCCTCCTTCCATCCTCCCACTGTCTCGGAAATCACAGAGCTCATCCGGAAATCCAAATCATCCACCTGTCAATTGGACCCCCTCCCAACACAACTTGTCAAAACCTGCCTTCCCTCTCTGGCTCCCCTCATCTCCGCTATCATCCACTCCTCCCTCACCACTGGAACTGTCCCTACACCTCTCAAAACTGCTGCCATCACCCCGATTGTAAAAAAACCTGGTGCCGACCCCACCAACTTCAACAACCTCCGTCCTATCTCCAATTTACCCTTCATCTCCAAAATTCTTGAAAAAACAGTTGCCTCCCAACTCCATTCTCACCTATGTGCCAACAGCCTGTATGAAGAATTTCAGTCTGGTTTCCGGCCACTCCATAGCACTGAAACAGCACTCATCAAAATCACCAATGACCTCCTCATGGCATCTGATTCTGGACTACTCACCATCCTCATCCTCCTCGACCTGAGTGCAGCCTTCGACACCATCTGTCACACCACCCTCCTCAGTAGGCTTTCTTCCATTGGCATCACGAGCACTCCGTTGGACTGGTTTATTTCTTATTTTTCTGATCGCACTCAGTTCATTCAACTGAAGACCCTCAAATCCACCCCCTCCCCCGTCACCTCAGGTGTGCCCCAGGGCTCTGTTCTGGGGCCTCTGCTCTTCATCATCTACCTCCTTCCCCTTGGCAATATCTTCCGTAAATTCAACATCCACTTCCATTGCTATGCTGATGACACCCAGCTCTACCTCACCACGCAGCCATCGTCCTCTCTTCCGCCCACCTCCCTCAGAAATTGCATCTGTGAATTAAAGGCCTGGTTCACCAACAACTTCCTTCAATTAAACAGTAGTAAAACCGAGGTTCTCCTCATTGGTACCAAATCAACTCTTTCCAAAACCGACAGTTTCCAAGTCACTATTGATAGCTCCTCCATCTCCCACTCCCCCCAGGTTAAGAGTCTGGGTGTCATCCTCGATAGCACACTATCTTTCCAATCCCATATAAATAACATTACCCGGTCTGCCTACTTCCACTTAAGAAACATCAACCGCCTCCGTCCCTCCCTTACCCCACACACTACTGCCATACTTGTGCACAGCCTTGTCACCTCCCGACTAGATTACTGCAACTCCCTCCTCTTTGGACTTCCTCAGAAATCACTCCACAAACTACAACTGGTCCAGAACTCAGCTGCTCGCATCATAACAAGAACTCCCTCTATCCACCACATCACTCCGGTCCTCCGACAGCTCCACTGGCTCCCCATACAGTTCCGCATTCAATATAAAATTATCATGATGACTTTCAAGGCACTTCACCATCTTGCCCCCCCATATCTGTCAGACCTCCTGCATGTTCCCACCCCCTCCCGTGCTCTTAGATCCTCATCTGCTTTGCACCTGTCTGTCCCCTCCGCCCGTCTCACCACCATGGGGAGCAGAGCATTCAGCCGCTCTGCCCCCCGCCTCTGGAACTCTCTACCACCCCAACTTCGAAATACGGACTCAATTCTCCATTTTAAAATACAACTCAAAACCCATCTGTTCAAGATTGCTTATTCTCTTTAAAAATATCAATTTCACTGTCACAGCCTCTGTATTTTTTAATGTTTTTAAATGTTTTTATAATTATAATTTTTATTTTTTCTGACACTTTTTATGTTTTGTACGGTGACCTTGAGTGTCCAGAAAGGCGCCTTTTTAAATAAAATGTATTATTATTATTATTATTATAAAAGAGCTGGGGAACACACCAGAAGACAAGGACATATTAAACAGTCTGGTGACCCATGGTCCAACTGAGTCCAAAGTAACGAGCCCAACACCGTCCATCTCTAATTTTCTACCAATACTTGGATATAGTCTCATTCCTTAAATAATGTAACAAGCCTAGCCATGGATTGAACCAATTTGTTATCACTTAATATGGCTTGTAGAGGTATTATGGTAGACCGAACAAATTCTATGTCTTTCTATGTGCCTTATACATAGCATTACTTATGTTCAAGAGAGGCTTTAGCTGTGCTGCATGGTAATACTTGTGCTACCCTTTATTAAGACAAAATAAGCAGATTAATGTAATATTTTACACAGTATCGGATCATGCGTTAAATTTAAAACATCATTTCCAGTAACATTTAAATATATTTTTATTTGCAGCATCAGGAATCCTGAGGCATATTTCGCTGAGACTCCAGTGGATACAGAACCAGCCAAGATGAAGAAAAATATTTTTAGTGCCTGGCTGTATTTAGGAATTGGAAAATTATTTTGAATCTACTCTCTACAGACGATAAACCCTAAGGGTCCCCTGTCATTTATCCTATTCTTCACTCAGTTGTTATTGTTACAGTGCCTCTATCTGGTTACCTTTCTTTCCTGTTTCTGGTTTTTGCAGTTAATCCTTCTTCACCATCTTGTGCTTCCTGATGTCTGCCTACTGTTTTAGTTATTTGTCTCCACAAATCATGACAGTAGGACCTGACCATCAAAAGGACAAGGAAACATAAACTTAGAAAATAAAGCCATTTCAGTATCGGAATTGGGAGGCCAAGCTTCAGACAAAGGGGCCTTTTCCACTTGGACTGATGATGGAGCTATCTTGGCACCGGACCTAACAAAGCTCCAGATTATTTGGATTTGATCACCGAAAGCTACAACTCCTAGAGCCAGAAACTGGTGCTACAGTAGCACCAACTTTTTGTTGTGACCTACGAGATCTTGCCTAGCACCAAGTAAATTAAGCATAAGGGGTGGAGTTTACTATAAGGTGCACATGAGGAGCACAACTCTTCAAGAGTGTTCAAAAACTTTGCCAGATGCTGAATAGTTGTAACAGTGACAAGGAGGATGCCAACACAAACGACATGATACATCACCAGGATGGCTGTGTTGGGCTGTGCAATGTTCCTATATTGGTCAGGTAGGAACAAGCCAGTGTTGAATAGTCCTCAGTCGGTTACTATAGCATAGGTTTTCAAGGTGACTGCCTTCATCACCACTGGTGTCTCGAGCTCGTTTCTCATTGCTTCCCAGTCATAGTGCCCACCGGAGCCCTCTAGACAACTTCTGATCCTGCTCTGTCTGCACTGAGTCCTCCAAATTGGGTGACTGCATTTGCATCTACTGCGCTGGTACAATTTCCTGCTCCTGAGGTTTCCTATGTTCCTGCCCTGGATCGTTCCTTTTGCCAGTCCACCTGGTCCCCAGGTTACCTGTGGTCTTGCTGCAGAGAATCTCTGTGGCCTACGGCTTTCAACTGAGCTCCTTCATGGTCTCCAGGATTCATTTGAGCTCATTTTTGGCCTCCATAAATTCAGGACCTGAATACATGTATAGAAAGGCTGCACATTGGCACAGTTTGTAGCACCGTTGCCTTGCAGAAAAAAAGTTCTCTGCAGTTTTCTTTCTGCATGGAGTATGCATGTTCTCTCTTTGCATGCATGGGTCCTCTCCAGGTACTCTGGCTTCCTTCCACAGTCCAAAAACATGACTGTTAGGTTAGTTGGCTTCCTAAGGCGTGAGTGTGTGTAAGAATGGTTGTATGTCTCTGTGGATCTCCATATGTATCAGTCTGGCAACCTAAAACAAAGCCAAGATACAAAAGGCAAGTTACCTCTGTGGAGTAGCCAAACTGGCCTACAGAGGGTTCACCAGATAATTTGTGGTGAGCTCATAGTATGCTTCTCCTCTGCATCAAAATGAGGCAGCATTGTTCTGAAATGTGATAAAGACAGTCTGGGAGATCCCTCTTGTGAGAGTTTTAGGCCGGGCATACACTGTATGATTTTTTTCCCTTTTCAGGCCAATTTTCCCGTAGTGTGAGAAATTTTCAATTTTTCTCAATTTTCAGCCTCATCATGCGTCCTGCTTTATGTAATATGCAGGGGAAATAAGGGGCGATTGTACTCTCACGACCACGTCCTGATCAGGGATCATAAGGTTGGGAGAAAATCAAACATTTTTGAAATTCAATCGGCCGTCCTAAGGTGTTCATGGACAAATCCTGCTGTTGAAACAGAGCCACGAGCGTCTAAGAGCCAATTTACCGGAACCTTGAGCACTGCGCATGTGCGAACAAGGGAGTTCTGCTTCTTCTTCTTTCAGATTGACGAGTCCGTCCAGTGCCATCGGCGCTGAGTTTGACGTGTGGTTTTTGGACGTGTAGTTTGAGCGTGTAGTGTTGCATCAGAGCGTCAGGCCGCACAGTGTGAGAACATCCATCATGAGCTATGAACGTTTAAACCTGCGTTTTTGTCGTACAGTTTGAGCTGTAGCTCGATTGAACGACGATTGAACATATCACACAGTGTATGCCTGACCTTACAGGCACATCATCAGAGGATACCCTTGGGAATACCCTGAACCAACTAAAGTAACTGTATAAGCCTAGAGCTTTTGGACTTTTTAAAATCTTGAAATCAGCTAAAGAATAATGCTGGGAGGAGTGATGGCGGCTGTTTCTATTCTGAACCTCACAAACCAGTCTCAAATGAGCAAGAGATAAGGGATTGTTTGGTAGTGTTTTAAACTGCTTACAAAAAAGAAAAAAAGCAGGCTAGTATTTGATATTTTCAGTGCTATCATCTTAAAAATTTTCTTCCATCCATTTATCACTACCTTTAGATTAGCCAGCCAGTTTAGCCTTAAGTAAAACAGTGAAGCACTTTCCCCATGACTGTACAAACAGCCTGAACAAACAGATTTATTTTCTTATCAGGCAATAGCTGTTAATGTAGATAGAGATAAAAAAAGGTACCTCCTTATTTAACAGAGAATCTGTATTCACATTCCTCAAAGGGTAGCATCAGCGATACTTGGCAACTGTTCATCAGAGGACCTCCTGATTGCACAGTGACAGGGAGAGCACCAGACGCTGGAAACCTCCCTCTGATCTTCATCTCTCTCTCTCGTCCCTCTCTGCAGTGAAGTGTGAACATTAAAGTGAATGTGGAGGAGGAGTCCTTGCAACAGGGAGTGGGGAGGGTCAGTAGGGAAGCAGAGAATCAGAGTAAGACAGCAGCAAACCCAGGCAGACAGCAATGAATGTTGGCAGGGAAGAGGCTTCAGCACAAAGACAACCAGCATGTTAACTGTGTTGGTCCCCTGGGAGTGTTGTACCTAATCGGAGAAGGTTGGGAAGCTTTGGATACCATACAACATCATCAGCCTGGTAGGTTTACTCTGCTGCTCCCATGTTCGAGCTACATACTGCTGATGCTGGTTATGCAAGGTATAAATAAATCCACTTGCATGACAAGAAGAATTCTGATCCTTAATATTTAATATTTATTTGTTAATTGCATGTTAGGACAAACATAGTTTAAGCTCAAACTTTTAATCCCATTGTCGGTAGTCAAGTCTGGTTTCACACTGAGGGTGAAGCTTATTATTTTGGGGCTTATACATTCCCACTGGCTGTTATCAGCTGCGCTACACTCCTAAAATTCTCTTCTTCCATCTCTGGATCTAATGTTGTCTTTTACTGTTTCATTTTTTTAACATTTGAAAGTACAGCCCAAATTTTCCACAGCAAGTAAAGTCTCAATTTTACATCGTGTCTAGCGTTGCACGCACCAGACCATGAAGCATCTCCTCATCTGTCCCAGTTTCTTTTATCCCAGCGAGGCTGAAACATGTCCTGCTCTGATTGGAGTCTTAACTCTGGTATCTCACTGCAGAATGAAATTTTATATTGACGCAGATTGCTTTGCCTTGTGGAAAAGAAAGTGGATTCAGCCCTGTTTAAATCTGGAACAGAGCTGTGAAAGGAATGTCTTCACAGCAGTAGGCAGCAGGAGTTATACCTTCATATAAATCTAAAAAGGGCATCCCTGCATTTGTTTTTTGCATTTGTCACAGCTATCCTTTTAAAAATGAGTCTGAGCATAGAGATTGGCTGTTTTTTTTTAGATAAATTATATGAAACTGCTGTCCTTTTCCATTATAAATCAAAGATGTTTAAAAGAACCAACTAACAAACTGTATATTGCTTCTGAAACAAAGAGGACAGAAAATATTTAATTTAAGCCTTTTCATTTAACAAGCAACTGAGATTCAAAGTATTTTTCCAGCTATTCATTTTCAATCACTGGTATTTTCAGACTGTCCGCACCTTCTCTTTCATAGCAAATACCATCATCTTGTATAAAGGAAATGAGTACCAATTTAATAAATCAAACATAATCCAGCTTCTTCTTTGTTGGAGGTATTTTCTTTTATATTATCCTCTTCCTTAAACCCAGATGGTTCCTGTATGGATTTGGTAAGCCGCAGTGTCATAGCGTGGGTTGCCTTGTTTCTCTGATCTCATTAATGATAGAAAATTGTAACCACAACACAAATACTGCAGCACTGAAAAAGATAAAGCCATCAGAAAAAAAAATCTTGTTTAGATTTAAACTTGTCCATATGTCAATTTTAAAGTATTGTTGCATGCATTTGCTATTACAAAGGAAATAATTTCTAAATAAGGTGAATTGCTTTGAGAGTGACTTAATATTGATTGCTCTCTATTGCTCTCTTTATTTCCCAGAAAATCAATTGCACACTCAAAGAACAAGTTGTTTCTTTGAAGTTAGCACAGGGGGAACAAAAATAGGATTTGGTGATTTTTCAGAAATTTACTAAAGAACCCTCTTCTAGAAACACACCCCACCCTCTTTGTCCTGCCCATCACATACAGATGGACATTCAAGGCTGCAGCATCAAAGCCCAATAATCAGCATCATGGCAAAACGCTATTGCTCATAGCTCTGATTCCAAACCAGCGATAATAACAAATATTTGAGTTAAAATGTAGGTGTCCATGAATCATAGGTTAATTATACATATGACCTAATTTCAAATATAATTTAATTGCAGAGTTAGAAATAATGATTATTCGTAATTAGCATTTTGCACATCCTCTCCGTCAAAATACACGTATCACTTTCCTCAGAATCTGTAATTACAAACTGGCTTTTAACCATTATCTGCTAAATATGGCTGAACTATAGTAAGAGAAATAATAAATTCCAAACACAGTTGTTTTTTTACACCTTTCACCACAAAAACACAAACACTCTATTTGTTGGAACATGAATGTGTTTAGATGTGCTTTCCTGTGTGCGTGACTCTGTGATTCACCAGCAAGTGGACCACTTTAGTTTCAATTTTCCATCAATGGCTGCTGTGCAATATAAAATGAGTGTACCTATGACATGAGAGCAGATTGACGTCATTTGAGACATTACTTTGGCAAATTCTGCACAAAAAAGGCATTCAGTCTGAAAATTGTTATAGAATCAAAATTTGACAGAGAGGTGCCTTCTCTATACTCCTCATCGGTAGTGATCAATGCATCTTTTTTAGCTGTTACTGGAAGCTAGGTATCTCAATAACCACAGATGAGCACCTGCTCTTTTTGTTTTCGCTGAGTAAATTTAGGTAGAGCACTTGGACAGTGGTCAGTTAGAGAGGCAATCCATTCAATTAGGATATAGTGGAGCTGAGGTAGGCTGCACTTAGTGTCTTATTGGTGCACTTCTCTTTCCCAAGGTTAAATACAGCTGCACGTCATAATTACATAGCATCAAAACATTACAAACAAGAAAAGCACACAATGAGTCTAGGCAATCAAGTATTTTGCCCCATATTGTGACTTACAGCTATAACTATAACCTACACACAATCTAGATCTTTATCAAATTTTAATAAATTGTTCCATGACATGAGGTGCTTCTTCATTTGCTCTGTTTTCTTGTTTGATCAGCAGATCGAGATTTCGAGCGAGGCATAGTTCACTGTTCCAGTGTCTTCAGTATAATACCTTTGGACTTCTTTGAGTCCAATGCTGAAGCTGTCTATAGTCACTGCTGCCTCTCTCTGGTTTAGGGGGAACTGGAGGAACTGCTTGTTCTGCCAAATAATGTCCAAGAATCCTTAAAAAAATTCCTGCATCTGGATGATGATGTGGATCATCACCAAAATTTAATGGATTGTTCCTTGGACTGAGGTGCACCTTTGGTAAAAATATCATTAAAAATTCAATCTAGATTTTGTAACATTATCTACTGTTTTATTTGGATATTTAGCTTAACTGTGAAAAGCTTTTTTATTTTTATTTTTTGCAGGTTATTTAGACAATCTGGAATCTGTGTGTCATGTTCTTGGCACTGATGACTGGCTAAATTACTCATTCCATTCATCTGTCTAACTCTGCCATGTTTCTCATCACTGCTCAGCTGATCCACCTGCTTCTGCCTCTATTTAAGCTGCTTGCATCCAGTCATCAGGGCCAGATTTTTCTTGTTCTCTCTAGCCAGTGGTGAAAGTGTTTTTAGTGTACCTTGGTGTTTCATATTTCCTAATCCTGAACTGTTCTGCCTGTCAAGCACCTAGCCTATCTGTTCCTGTCTGATCTCAGCGGTGAGAGTTTTTTAGCATTACCTTAGTGTTTCTGATTGCCTGATCCTGTTCTGCCTCTGAACCACTCCGCCTGCCTGTTCTTGTCTGAACAGTTTTACCTGAACTGTCTTTGGACTCAAGAATCTCTGAGCCTGCCAGTTCCTGTTCTGATTGGCCATGCCTGAATACTGGATCCTGCTGTTCCGAGCCATGACAGAATAATCTGGCTAAACATGGACCCATCGTTAGGCAGACAGTGGGGTTCTGAGGTCGCACAGTGTGTTTCTTGTCTAGAGTCAGGTATTCAGGAGGTTCTGTATAGCCTGTTTGGTCAGACTGCTTCCACCTTTTCTGTCAGAAGCCGCATCTGTTTCCCCCCGAACTGTTTGGGGGTTATTATGATTAGTGTCCGGTTTTTCTGACCCCCACCCGCCAAGTTTGGGTTTTATTGTTTTGGGTTATTGTTTTTTGTTTTAAGGTTTTAGAGCCCGGGAGGGCGTCTGGAATCTGCCCTTAAGTGAGGGGATCTGTCATGGTCTTGGCACTGATGACTGGATTTATTACTCATTCCATTCACCTGTCTAACTCTGTCCAGCTTTTCATCATGGCTCATCTGATCCAACTGCTCCTCTCTCTATTTAAGCTGCTTGCATCCAGTCATTAGGGCCAGATTATTGTTGTTCTCTCTAGCAGTGGTGAGAGTTTTTTTTAGAGGTCCTTGGGGTTTCTGATTTCCTGATCCTGACCTGCTCTGCCTCTCAACCAGTTAGCCTGACTGTTTCTGTCTGATCTCAGTGGTGACATTGTTTTTAGAATTACCTTAGTGTTTCTAATTACCTGATCCTTTTTTGCCTCTCAACCACTGAGCTTGCAAGTTCCTGTCTGAATGGTTTTACATGTACTGTACTGTCTTTGGCCTGTTCCTGTTCAGATCTGTTTTGCTGGAATACTGGTTACTTCATTCCCGAGCCATGACACTGTGATCTAGATCAGAACCTTACATATGTAGCTTTGCCAAAGTTAGACTGAATAGTTTTATATTTTCTAGCCAATAAAACAATACTTTATCGACCCCAAAGGGAAATTTAGTGTTGTTGTAACTCTTTGCTGTTACTTTAGAGTTTAATTTTTTTTTAAAGCTGTATCTAGAAAATACCTACAGTTTACTGTCTTTCAGCAGCTTCTGATTGAAGGCACATTGTTAGATTTTTTTGACAAGGTGATAAAGAGGATGCTTATGCTTTACAATGTTCATATAAAACTTCATTAAGAAGTATTCTTTGTAAAATCACATTCAAGTGTTTTAAAGTTCGTCTGCTATCACATACCCCAAAAATTGATAGCAGAGATCACATTCCATAACAGACTGATACACTTCAACCACTTAAGGAACTAAGAATCCTCAGTAAAGTCTGCTCTTTCCCTTGTAATTCTGTCTTTTGTTCAGGTGAACACCAATGTATTCATATTCCTTAGCCACCACCCCTTTCCATGATGGTAACATGGTTAACTCTTTCTTGTTTCTCTTGAGATCTTCAATCGTCTCCTTTGTTTTATTTACAACCAGCATCAGATTATTTTTTTCTACAACATAACACAAAGTGGTCGACCAGCTCCCTGTACTGGGCTTCTTGTCCATACTACCAAGGACTGAAAAGTCTTCAAAATATTTATGCAGATGACTGATCTTTCTTATACTGAAATATGGAGGCGCACATGGTAAAAAGGAATGGTGAGAGTACAGTTTCTTCTGTTGCTCCTATGTTGTTAACTACCTTATTAGAT